TCTGGGCGTGAAGCCACGGAGCTCAGCGCCTCTCACGAACGCCTCTGATTCAGAACTCGAGTTGTCTGCAAGTGTGTGGAAGACTTCGGGTGAAGAAGGGCCTTGCCGAGCGTGGAAGGAGGCCCCAGACGGCGGCCCGCACGGGCCCGGCAGGCACACAGGGTTTGGGGAGGCTGCCAGGGCGCCTGGGGTGGGCCAGGCATTCAGATACCACAGCAAGCCCTTCAGAAGGGTGGCACCACCCGTCAGTCAGAGCGGCTCGGGCCTCCTCCTCCCCGCGGTGACAGCCGTCTGCTGAGCTCACGGCCCCGACCGGGGCATCCGCACCCTGCCCCCGTTCATCACTGAGCCTGCGTCCGGGCTCCGGGCTGCGGCTCGGACCCAAACGCCCGGCCCAGTCTCTGCGTGCCCATGTCTTTCCCCGGGCTCCTGACAGCCCTTTTCTGGGCCTTGGTTTCTCCTTTTGTCAAAGGTGAAGGGTACGACCTCCTTTGGGGGTTGCTGGGGACACAGGGCAGGATGGCAGGAAACCCTTCAACCTGCAGCCTGCATGGCTCCTGGGCCCCTAAATCCCAGGTAGCCTCTCCCCTCACCGAACCCACTGGTACCAGGGCTTGTGGAACTTACCCTCCCGCACTCTGCATCAGGATCTTTTTTTTTTTTAATGCTCCAATATTATTATTTTTTTAAATTGAAGTATAGTTGATTTACAACACTGTGTTAGTCTCTGGTGGACAGCATAGTGATTCAGTTATATATATACATTCCTTTCCATACTCTTCTCCATTGTAGGTTATTACAAGCCACTGACTACAGTTCCCGGTGCTCTGCAGTGGAACCTGCTGTTGATCGATCTCGTACACAGAACAGCAGTGTGTACATGTTAACCCCAAACTCCTAATTTAACCCTCCCACTCTCTCTTCCCTTTGGTAACCATGAGTTTGTCTTCTCTGTCTGTGAGTCAGTTCCTGCTTTGTAAGTAAGTCCATTTGTGTCACTTTTTTAGATTCCACATGTAAGTGTGCATAAGAGTCTTTGTCTGAGCCCCTGGACGGACTGCCAGCCCTTCCCCTCCACCTGCCCAGGCTCTGGGCCCCAGCATTGGGCACCCGCATCGTGGCAGGAACTGGAGACCCCGGCAGGCTCTCAGGCGCCAGCGTGGGAACGAGCACCTGCAATTTAACTTGACGTGGACCAGGTGGACGTCTCAGTGCTGAGCGTGGATGCCGGGTGGTGGGGAGGTGGGTCACCGCGTTAGGCCGGCCACCCCACAGGCCTGCTCGCTCGCGTCTGCTCATACAAAAGGGATGGTTCGGGGGACAGAGGGGGAACGAGCCCTGATCCGAGCCTGAGGGGCAGACAGTGCCCATCACACGCATTCTCCGAAGGGAGGCCTGTGTTTCTCCACGGCGGGGCCCGGTTGGAACCACGACGCCGGCACCTCTGAGTCCATGAGTTCATCCACTTGGCCTCTGCTCTGTGCAGGGGAACCCCAAGCGGGTTTCACAGGCCTGTCTCTGGGGCAAGTTTCAGATCCACAGAAGCAGGCTCTCCGGGCAGGGCTGGGTCAGGACTTCGGGCTTTACTGAACTGGCGAGGCCTTGGGTGTGAGTGTCACCAACAGCGTGACGAGACGATGTTGGTGGACCCGACACCCAGGACACGCCCCTCCTTCCCCAAGACATCTCTTCTTTACTCGTTTACGTTCCATCCCGTGCCTTCTTCTCCATGAGCAAGGAGAGCTGAAGCCCTCTGGAAGAGTCCACTGTTGGCCCGACTCACAGTGGGTGATGGTCCAGCCTGTCTCCAGGGTCTCAGGATTCTGTGTGATCCCACGTGGGTCACGCTGCTCACAGGCCATCCCACGGGCCTCCCCCCGCGCTTCCTTCCACCCAACGTCCGCTTCCGCTCAGTCCTCTGTTCTTCGAAAGACGTGTCCCGTGGAGTCCAACATCCCTAAGTCCAGCGCCGTCCGCCTGACGGGAGACAGGCGTCCCCCTGGGTCAGGAGGCAGCTACGAACTGGAGAATCACATCATAAACCTTCCATCCCGCTCCACAGGCTTCCGAGATGGAAAAACTGAAGTTGCGTTCTTGTTGAACGAACTTACATTTCACCGACCCTGGGAAAGAGGTGAACCTTTAGAAAGTAACAGCGATTTCGACCTTCAGGCAATAGAGCATAGGCTAGTGGCTGGTGTGCGCACACGCCTGGTGTCAGGGGCAATCAGCCCCAGTGGGCGGGAAAAGCACGACCCTTTCCGTGAGGACGCAGGAGCAGGCCCTGGAGTTGAGAGATCAGGGCACTTGTCCCGTCTCCAGAAGATGCCAGCTCTTCGAACTGCAGAAAAATCTCTTGACTTATCTGAACTCCAATTTCCCGTCTGTAACATGGTACCCACCTGGCAGTGTAGTGTGAACATTCAATGAGACAATGCCGTCCAGGGGCCGGAACAGTGAACATAAGAGAAAAGGGCTTTGGAGTGAGACCCTCGGGTGCAATTCTTGGTCCCACCTGTGCTTCAGCAGCCTTAGCCCCGGGGTGGGTCCCATAACGTCTGGGCCGCACCCTCGAGGTCTGGACGGGGCGTGTGGACAAGCTCCTCAGGCAGCACCCGGCTCATAGCGGGCGCCCTCCCCTCCTTCTTCCCAAACCTCAAGTTCTAACTCCCTCTACGGGCAGCTCTGGTGTCAGCAGTATCTTGGTGTTCTGTGGGTACCTCTGAACTAACTATTCAAGTGGAGCACTTTAAAAAATACTCCATTTGGGGATGGGTACCTTTAGCACTCAAAGTCTCAGGACACTACAAACGTGAGAACGTTCAGAATAAGAATTTTCCTAAAGGATCATTTCACAGACAAAGAATATGTGATGACATTATATATCAGAAGACTGGAAACCAAAAAGGCATTTTGACTGTCTATATTCTAGAATTGTATGAATTCAGAACTACATTATTAAGAGCCGTATGACATGAGACTGGGCACGTACAGATGTTAATCTGAAAAGAAAGCCAAAGTAAATGAAGAACGATCATGTCGCTTAATTGAAGATTCATAGACGTAACTGGATACTGAACAGAAATTTAAGGAACGTGAGGGAGAACTGGCTCTGCAGTCATAATTTACTCCAGTATCCTCGGGGCTGCCTTTGGTAGCTGTTGGCAATTGACTGAGGGACCCTGAGCCAGCAGCGCTGCCCGCATTCGCACACTGCAGGGAGCAGAGAGCATCACCGCCCCTCCCCGCACAGGAGTGCCGGGCAGGCCGGACGCCGCGGGTTACCTGCGTGGTCAAGGCTGAGAAGTTTCCACTTCTGCAAACCGTCACACCTGTTGTGAGCTGGAGCCCGCCAGTGTCTCCAGGAAGACCCCACGAGCGAGTCTCAGGGAGGCCATCGGCCTGCCTCCTGCAGCTCCCCAGGTTTGTACACAACCACATGAAACACCAGACCTCACAGGCCGGAAGTCAGTAAACAGATCCATCGTGACGAACGCACACACATGCAAAAGAGAAACGCATGTGATCAGGACACAAGGAAGAGAAACGGTACGCACCCCAAGTTACAAAACTAACAGGAAAAGACAATGAACGAGTGCATTGAATACCCTTTAAAACACAGCAAAAATGACGCTGTTGTGTTTCTAAAATTCTATTATTCTTCTCTCTCACTTTGTCTCTCTCGGAAGAAGACCCCAAGGGGGTGGCACTCCATTGGTACCTTCACAGACGACAGTTTCCCCTTGAGGAATGAAAAAGAATTATGATTAAAAAATAGGTCTTTAACAAGCCATTGTGCAAATGTAGTTTTGTTTTCCAGATTCATTTTTTTCCCTCCCGGCTGAGAGCAGGGCATTCGGTGGCGAGACAGGAGTCATTGTGAAAGGAAGGAAAAACGGATGGCGATATAAATCAGCAAAGGTTAATGACCGGGATGTGAAGAGAAGGGCTTGTTTACAGAAATAGCGTGCAATTTAAAATTTACAGGAGATTTAATGCCACAGCTTGGCAATCGCTGAAATCAACAGCCCAGAAAACAGTGACATTAAGAAAAATATTACAGTTATAATCATCCCCAAATAAGTCAATTAGTGCTAGGGCACGAGCTTGCGATTACTTGACCCATTTGGCTTGCACTTAAGTGAAAAAAAATGTCCCCCCTATTATACCGAGATCGCTGGATTGTGACCTGTTTTGCATCGTACGTTTCGTACGCCAGCCTCCCTCACAAGGGCTGGGGCTGATGGGGCTGCGTTTCCTCTGCCTGGCATCAAAATAATTCTGACCCTTGACATTTGTAATCATAAAAAAAAGGGCAATTTATAATTGTGTTGTTCAAATGAAGGCGGTGGGGGAATTCAATCTGCTATTATACAAAAGCAATGACGGCTGTCTTCGGTGAAAAAAGCAACGCAAGTCAATTTGTGAACTTTGGCACCAGACGACCTTTAGAAACACAACAATATACTGAATTTACAAGCAATAGCAGCCCATGCAAATGACCCGGGCCTGGCTGCCTCTGGATTAGAGCTGCAGAGAGCATTATGGAGAATGTTTCCACAAAACAAATTAAGACTGTTACTTAAATGTCACGGCACACTATTGTATTTGGCTACAGATCATTACACCTGATACTAACACTTTTAAAAACTGTAATAACTTGGGAAATATTACGTTGAGTGCCCACATGTATAAAGGAAAAGAAAAAAAAAAGAGGAGAAAATAGGTTCCGAAGTAATTTAAACATCACTACTCTACGACTGGAAGGGAAAGGTCAAAATGTAAGTAAGCTGAAAGGGACATGAATGGGAAAATAAAACACACAAACAAAAAGATGAAAAGACCACAGGAATGACTCTGCAAACACAATAAGGGTGCATGCAGCTTTGGGCGAGTCGCATCTCCATTTCTGCATCGGGAAGGAAGGAAGGCAGGGAGGCAGGGAGGCTGGAAGGACGGGCACGGGGACAGGGGGCGGGGAGGGGCGGGGGCGGCGTTACCTTCGGTGTTGGTACTGCTGCTGCTGTAAATATTTCGCAGGCTACCAACACGGTTTAGTTTCCATGCTTTGCGCTTGGCTGCATCCCGAGAGCAGAAAGGGGAGAGGGGGAAAAGAGAGAAAACAAAAAGGAAAAGAAACAAATGAAAAGGGGAGAAAAGAAATGTCAAAGTAGCGCGTGACGTCACCTGGCGGAGGGCAGTCCCCGGGAGGCGGGTGGGCGCCGGCCAGAGCGCGGAGGGCCTCAGCAAGGGCAGAGCGAGGCCAGCCAGCATCCTCCGCTTTGCACGAACCCGACACACGCCAAGGCAAGGAAGCCCACGCACCCCTCTCGCCCTGCTGGGTTCTGCACGTGGCTACTGAGAACACTGCAAAGCTGGCCTTTTCCTTGGGGGCTGGTGGCATCTTCGGAAGGAGCGATGACGCCGGCAGCCATAAGCCCTTTGATTTGGCAGAATACCGGGAGCATGTCAATCAAAGGGGACTCTGGTGATTAGCAGCTCCCGTGTATGCCGCGTGGATAGGTCTCTAAATCCCAGAGCTGTATTTTCTCCCCAGACTCATTTTGATCAGGACAGGAACCCACACCAGCAAAACTCTACCACCGTCTTGCAGTGGTTGGAGGGCAGAGTCCATTCTCCTTCCTACCGGGAGGATGCTGGAGGCTCTGAATGGAGCTCCAGGGAACCCCAACAGCACATGCCTCCTTAAGTTCTCAGCTCACTGAAGAAAGCATCCGAGGAAAAGAGACAAACATCAAGTTACCCCCAGAGCAACCCTGGGCTCAGGAGTGAAACGCGGGCACTCCCACCGCTCCTGCAGCGCAAAGAGACTAGCTGGGCGAGATGCCCCTCCCCGCCTCCCTGGACGCTCTTCTCTGCGGACACATCCTCACCTCACGGGCCCCACCACCCTCCCAACCATCGACTCAGGAGGGTAGACACCTGTGGCAAAGAGGGCGACTTCAGAGGAGACATATTATAAAAAGTATCGGCTGAAATAAAATCACACAACGTGAGAGCACAGGGTGGTTCTTGAGGAGCAAGCCTTCAGGCAAATGCGGCTGAAGGTGCAGGCGCAGATTCAAGGGCTGGACAGACAGCCACACGGGTGCATGTCAGCGTGGTCGGGGACGGCCACGGTCAGCCACGTTCCTGAGGAAGGGACCACGTCCTTCCTGACTTCCACAGCAAGGAAGTGAAACCCGTCAAACCCTGCACGAGGCTTTTGTTGTCTAGCCCCTTGTTCCATGCAGGAAGGACATGCCGGCCTGGGGAGGCAGGTGTGCACGTTTTCGCAGGTGTATGTGAAGCTCACTGTGGGGGGCCAGGCTGACCCACTGGCTCAGACTGACCAGAAAGCAAGGCATGCGCTGGCCAGCGGCCAGCTCTCTCCCCCAGGGCTCAGGAAGGGTGGCCTGCCACAGCATTAGAGCCCACAGACGCAGCCTCAAATAGTACGGTGGGGGCTTTGGGTGTGCCGAGGTCTGGGGGCCCCAGAATGACCGGGGTGAGGACCGGGTCTTCCCGAGGAGTTCTGCTGCTGAAGTGACTCTCCAGCACTTCCGTGCACACTGGGTTTCTCTGGCTTGACATCACCAGATACACGAGGGAAACAGGGGCGACAATGGGGACAAATGCAATTCCCCAACACAGTACTGTATAACCCGGTCCTGGGAATCTTATGTTAAGGGGAGTAAAAACTAGCTGTAATTTATGTGTCCCCCGATTTAGAATGAGAAAGAGCTAAGCTGTAACTAAAGAACTAGGAGTTACCTTGTAGCCTGAAAACCCAAGTAAATGAGTAAGAGATGTCATCTCTAACCCGGTAAGATCAGAGACCGGCGCCCCCTACAGTACATGGGTCTGAATTTAATTTTCTGTGAGAGAAGTTTCCCTTATCTCTGTATCCTCAAGGTACCTTATCTCTAAGGTATCCATCCAGGTAACACCACACCTGGCAAAGAGAGCTTCAGGTACCCATCAGTACAGACGACCAAGGTCACAGTTTTCAAGTGTTTACTTCGAAAATGCAAGTGGATGTTTACCAGGCTCCTCACGCATAACGGATACCTTCACAGCATTAAGCGTGCACTCAATTATTTCAACTGTCCGAGCTCGGGCATCTTGGCCCTGTTTCACGAGTTCCAGAAAGTCTATCCACAGAGGCTGCACTCCTCGGCGGGAAAAACTTACCTCTTTCTAAAGCATTTACATATAAATAGGCAGAATCTGGGCTGGGCACCCCTCCGCAAGGGAGGGGAGCTCTGGTGCAGAAACCTCTTTCTGCGCGCTCTCCGCCTTGCATATTTCATGCCCCAGTCTCCCATTACCGTACGGATATATAAGCAGGAAGTGAACTTGCAGCCTGGTTTTCTATTAACCTATTGATGAAATAATCAATTTTAATGTGTAAAAATGTCAGGCCTTTTTCTTCCTCTTAAACAAATGGACTTTTTCTGGCTGATACCAAGGTCCTGAGACGTGCATTTGTCTCCTGGGGCATTGATTGCTCTAAGTCCACTTGTTTAGAGGCTTCTCAGTGAGAAAATACAATCATATTATCATCAATAAAATCTCAGGTCCTGGGCGATGCTGCTGCCTGGATTCACCTCTGAAGGAAATGAAGACACTGCACCTAATGGAGCCAGGAGCACCCTAGCCTGGTGCCTCTGGCTGGATGCCCAGCTCCCTCCCACCATCAAGCACCGTGGCCACTGCGCTGACCTCAGGCCTTTGGAATAGATGGTGGTTCTCGAGGACGTCACGTGGGCTAGCTCAAACAAGTACATTTTCTGGGTAATCTATTTTAATTTAAGAATTTAGTTTTTTTTTTAAGCTTCAGGAATATAATCTCCCCCTTTTAAACAAAGGCTAACTTATTTTGGTTTGGTCCCTAATGTTATTTCTCATAAAACTATTATTTTTATTCTTATTTTTAATGGAGGTACTGGGAATTGAACCCAGGATCTCATGCATGCTAAGAATGCACTCTACCACTGAGCTATACCCTCTCCCCCAAACTATTATCTTAATAAGAATTTCGTCCATTATTGAACAGAAAGTGGGAGCAGAGTGTGAGCATGCCCTCAGTGTTTCCCATCCTGCTCTCTGCTGACTGGGTAAACAACAGTCTCTTCCGTAAGCAGGTGTCCACAGTGTCTTCTATGACTCTTTAAATGGTATAATGTCTCTGTACCGTCTCTAGTGTTTGAAAACACATGGGCACATCTCAACCAACACGAAACCCCACAACGTATAATTCCTGATCTAGTGCCAACTGTCAGCCCGAACGCAGACGGTCAGATGGACAATCCTCACTTCAGCCTGCAAATTCAATGGAACCTTCTAAATTCCAGGCCAGGTCGGCAGAAACGTCAGTGGGGCCCTGGGAAAGGAAGCCTTTAGCAGGACAGCATAGTGTTCTCCATGTAATGGCACCAAAATGTGAACCGTGAGCTCAGGCTGAACACCAGACTGCCGCATATCACAGCAACAGCTGGTACGCGGGACGCGCAACTGATGGTGGAGAATTAAAAATAGAGGAGGAGGTGAAGCTCATCATCATGCTGGTTGGAATATATTTTCTAAGGATTAAAAGAGTTAAAATTTTGAAAAAGGCAGGTTAGGACAGTACAGAGACCCAGGCCCCCAAATTATAAGAAGAGAGAAAGATTTACTGCCCTATAATAACAATGGCACTGTCACTTCCCCTTCAGATTGACAAAGAGCCCTCTTGTGTACGAACACTGAAGACACGGAGTAAACTGAACTTGTAAGGCAGTCTCTGAATCACAGAAAGAGGGAAAGGCAGGTGAGCGTGGCAGCGATGTTGACAAGCGGCCTGGCACGTGCACGGGGATGTCACGTGACACGCCCCTCCCGCGCGCAGCCCTGCTGATGTCCACATTCTCTGCTGATTGATTTTCTGTGCCAGCGGGCTATCAAATCGGCATGCGAGGTTTTGGTGGTGACCCGGCTCATCCAGGTCCCAACCGCTGCCCCTCCTGAGTCACACATCTAAAGAAGAAAGGCTGGTATAAACTTGAGTTCCCAGAACATTTCTTTAAGGTGTCTGAACGTTATAATTTTTGCCTGGATGACCGAACGAGGAATGGCACAAACACTCAGCTCCTCATAATTACTAACAGACAGTCACTGTCTTTTGAAAGGAAATGGAGAGAAAGGGAAAACGTGCAAATTACGGCTTTTGCCTGAGTCAGAGCTGCTGGAATCACTTAGAGTTAACGACTCCCAATTGCTACACACCTCTTGGGTCTTGGAAGCTGCAGCTTTTTAGGAGTTCATGTGATGACCATAGGGATGTAAAATTTTATTTTAAAGGAAAATTTGTTATTTTGTTTCTCTAAACAAAAAAAATTTTTTTTTTTTACTACAGCATGTGAACGCCTGAGAACTAATCACAGCAGATTTCCAACATGAGAATCCTCTGACTAGCTCTTTATAAGAGGAATAAAATATCCCTTAGTCTGATGGCACGCTCGAATGAACAGGGCTTCATCCTGAACTCTCCCTCCATCACTGTACCAGGAGACCGCAGACTTATACTAATGCCACCTCTGGTCTCCTCCTGACAGCGCTCTTTGTTGGTTAGATAAATATTCCGCAGACAGCTGATTAAAAAATGACGCAGCCAGGAGCTGCATGTCCGAGCCTTGTCAGCCATGTTGGATGTTCAAGTGCACATGAATTACATCCCTGGTGTGAGCCGAACAGGGCTGGTGGAATGAGGCAGGCTGCAGCCCTCGGAATCAATTATGAGAACTAATAGGATCTTTTTACCTATGCGGAGGAAGGGGCTGGGTTGAGGAGGGCGTGCCCCTCATTTCTAAGGATGTCTTGTCTCAGCACGAAACAAATAACCCTCTCTATTCACAGCCGAGAGCGTCAGCTTGTACCTCTTGGAGAAGCCAAATGATAACCTTGTTAGACAGCACTGCTCCCTGTCCACGTTGGACATGTATTTATTTATTTTGAGAGATGCCATCGGTATAAATGCCAGTGGTGCAAGGGGCAATGCCTATACTCTTTGGAGAATTTCAGGGGGACCGGGGTACCA